ATTTTTATTTTATTTTTTATTTTTATAAGAAGTTACACAATCTATACTAGAAGCACAATAAGCGTATTTGCAGAGAGAAAAAAAAAACACTGGATAATACGGGGGTAAGAAGTCACCCATTAGCAACACTTGGCATGAGCATGTATTATGTTAATCTGTGACTTTGTGGGGAATAAGAATGAGATGAATAACGAGGAATAGTTCGTTGGAGGTTATAAGATTAGGAGGTCCCTGCACCATCTCCTTTTCAGGCGGCGGCGAGGTGTTTCAGGCAAAGTTAGAGTATTTAGATTCCTAATTAGTGGATTTTTGTGGTTGGCTAGGTGTGAAAAGAAGCGCTTGTAATAAATTACTGATTCTTCTTCGACTGTTTTCATGCGCATGTCATTATGGAGGGTTAGATTGGATACATACGGTGGGGCATTTGCTATTCTGCGTAGGGTGATGTTCTGGAAGGTCTGAATTTTGTTTATATTAGTTTTTTTGGCTGATCCCCATAACTGTAGACCATAAGTCCAGATGGGTTTTAATAATGACTTGTAGATGAGAAGTTTAGTTTGAAGTTGAGTGAATTTATTTTTTGATAAGAGGTGTTTGAGGGAGCGAGAACGAGAGTTTAAAGTTAGTCGTTTGGACCTTATGTGCTGTTTCCAAGTTAGCCTTTTGTCAAGGGTCAGGCCTAGGTATTTGACGGTGTCAGACGACGGAATAGGAATGTTGTCTACAGATACAGGTGGGCAAATTCCGTGTTTTAGCGTAAAAGTCGTGTGTACCGACTTGTTGTGGTTTAGTTTTATTCGCCATCTGGAGTACCATTGCGAAATAAGGTCCAGGTGAATTTGGAGATTGGTTGATGCAATTAAATGATTTTCATGAACTGCTATTATCGCTTTATCGTCTGCGAAATCAGCTACCAGGGTGTCTTGTGTTATGGGCTGGTCTGAGGCATATATGTTGAATAGAAGGGGAGATAGGATACCGCCTTGAGGTACTCCTGCTTGGATTAGAGACATTTCTGAGATGGATGAGCCAACGCGAGTTTGGAAGTATCTATCTGTTAGGTAAGATTTAATTAGCAGAAATAGAGGTGATGGGAGGCAGTTTCTCAGTTTAAAGAGGAGACCGTCATGCCAGACGCGGTCGAACGCCTGAGAAATGTCGAGAAAGACACAGGAGCAATATTGCTTCCGTTCAAGTGAAGTTGAGATGGCGTCTACTACTCTATGCACTTGATGGATTGTGCTGTGCTTGACTATAAAGCCGAATTGTGATGGGGGAAGAATATTGTTATTATTGATGTGGGAAAACATTCTTTGCAGAATTAGTCTTTCGCAGATTTTAGAAAAAAAAGGTAAGAGACTTATAGGTCTGTAAGAGTCCGGTGAGTCTAGAGGTTTGTTAGGTTTAGCAAACATTACAATTTGAGAAAATTTCCATAAGGAAGGAAAATATGATAATCGTAGAATTGCATTTATTATGTATGTTAAGAGGACTATGGCTTTTGTTGGTAAGCATTTTGTAACTTCGGCGGTTATAAGATCGAAGCCGGGTGATTTTTTATTTGGGTATTTCAGAATAGTGTTTTTCACTTCGTTTGGGGTGACAAATTTAGTTGGAGGCCCATAGGGTAACGGAGAGTCAAGGTATTTTTTAACATTGTCTAGATGTTGTTGGTCGTATATATTAGCGTGAGATTGAAAGATATTTGATAAGTGTGATTGAAACAAGATTGATTTTTCTGAGTCAGTAATAGCTAGGGTGTTGTCGGATTTTTTTAGGGGGGTTGAGATGGATTTAAATTTTAGAAGTTGTTTGGTTTCGTTCCAGAGGCTACCATTTGCAGCTGAGAGTTGATGTAGTTTTTTTTCAAGGCTATTGGCTTTATGTTTAGCAAGGATTTTTTTCAGGGAATTCGCAAGTTTGTTGTAGACGGATTTGTGTGATGGAAGACGGGAGAGTTGATAAGTTGCTCTTGCCCTACGTTTTTCAGTAATTAAACTTCTAATTTCTTCCGGAAGTAAGAAGTAATTAGAATTTGAGTTATTTTTGATTGAGCTAATGGTTTTATCAGGTTTTGTGGAAGTCCACGCGGACTGTTGTATGAGAGTTGTTAAATTGTTGACAACTTCGTCAATATCTGAGGTTGTTTTTAATTTAGTTTTTAGATCGATTTTTTCTTCAATTATGTCGTGGAATTTTTTATGATCAGTTTGGTTGGTGAACAGTTTAGGTGGATCAGTACGTGTTAGAGGAGTGGCTGAGATAGTGAGTAGGACTGAAGAGTGGTCGGAGTTTAGGTCAAGGATATTGACAGTGGAACAATGTAAGTTGCTGGGAATTTTGGCAGCAAAAATGTCTAGGATGTCAGGGTTCTTATTTGGCGCGGTTGGCCAATATGTAGGACCCGGGGGGGCAAGAACATTGATGTGCCTTTCGTTTGTAAGGTTGTAAAGTACAATACCACGAGGGTTGTTGACGCGGCAACCCCAGCTCTGATGTTTTGCGTTGTAATCGCCACCGATAATAAAATTAGTTTTAATTGTGCTAAAATAATCATTAAGTATTGCTCTAGTTATTTTGTGTCGAGGGGGGGAGTAGAATGCACCGATAGTGATTGGGATTTTGTTCAATTTAATTAATATTGAGCAAGATTGGATATGATCATAACTATAATTAGGAAGAAGCTGATAATATAAGGAGGTTTTGATTAAAATGGCGACTCCACCATGTGCAGTGTTGTCAGGGTGATTGGTTTTTATAAGTTTATATCCAGGGATGAATATATATGAGTATTTAGTAAAATGGGTTTCAGTTATAATTGCTATGTCTATTCGCCTATTGTGGAGAACAGTTTGGAGTTCGTTTGAGTGATTTTTGAGGCCGTTTGCATTAAACTGTAAAATTAAGAGTGAGTTATTTGTGGCTGAAGAAGTCATTTAGATTTATCGAGCAGACTGGAAATTACTGTGGTGAGTAGTGAAATTAACGGATTTATTAGAGTTTTGAAATCGTTTAAGAAGCTTGACATTAGATGAGATAGATTTGTTTCTGCAGATGGTGAGTTATCTTGAGTTGTTGGAGTGGAATTGGAGCGTGAGGATTGATTAGAGGCTACATTGGCATAAGTAAGGGGAGGAGCTGTAGGAGGGACTGAGTTAATGTGTTCTGATGGATGACTATCTTTTACAAGGTTAGACTTAAGACTAGGGTGTTTGTTATCAAAAATAAATTTGTTGTTATTTGAGCTGGGTTTCTTAAGGTACTGGAGCTCTTTATACACTGAGCAGCCTTTATAGTTGGCAGGATGGCTTTCTTGGCAGAGAGCACAGCATGGAGGTTCGTCGCGGGTTTTTTGACACGAAGATGAAGGATGACCATTTCCACAGCGTACGCAGCGTGGCGAGTATCCACAGTATGCCTTGGTGTGTCCGTAGGCTTGGCAGTTTGCACACTGGGAGATAGCTTTGATTTTATACGGTTCTTCAACTTTGATTTTGGTGTGTAGGATGGAAGTAAGCTGGAAGATTTCATTTGAGTGAATTGTAGGTTCTAGGTCGACGAAAAATAGAGGTAGTTGGTTTTTATTGAGTCTGTGAAGAACTTGAGTAACTTGCCTGACCTCAAACAAACGTGTTTCTAGTTCAGTTTTTATTAGATCGGTAGGGGTAGATGGGTGTAAGTTTCGAATTACTAAACGTGTTGATTTGTCCTCACTTAGCTGGTATGTGTGGAATTCGGCCTTTTCTTCCCTAAGGAAGTGTACTAGTTTCCTGTAAGACTCAGGATTTGCTGTTTGTATTTTAAGTCGGTCTGTCGTTGACTTACAGTGAAAGTTGTCTACGCCTATCAGATCGATTAACTCTGTGAACAGCGCTGGGAAATCGTGTACATCTTTGATGAATATAGGAGGAGGGGGTTTTTGAGGGGAAGTAATGTGAGGGGAAGTAATGCTAACGCGGTCCCCCCTCTGGTTCTCGATACCACAAAAAAAAAAAAAAAAAAGGAGGAGGGGGTTTGGCTATAACTTCTGGTTCAATATCTGGGCTTGGTACTGCATCCATGGATGTTTCAGGTGGTTGCTCTGTTTGACTGAGTACTTCGTAGCGATTTATCGAGATAAATAGTTTTTTTTTATTTTTATGTGTATGTGGATGATCTTGCGGAGATGTTGGTGGTTCAGAATTCGAGTAGGAGAAATTGGAGTGATTTATTTTTTTTTGAGTCGTCCAGTTTGTCATTGAGGTAGAATTGGTCGATGACGCCTTTTGATTAGTCTCACTTGTATTTGTATTTACATTGTGTTTTGAATTTACGTGTTTGTTGTTTTGCGACGTAGCATTGATATTATTTTTGTTCGTAGACGATAACATTCTGGTGAATAGAAGGTAATTAGATTGTAATTATCGGCCGTCAGCGACGGACCACAGATAAGACGACACCAGCCGGTGTGTTGCGTAACTGGACAATTAATTATTATATAATTATTATATAATATTATACGAATACGGAATAATTAATTTAGAGCTACAGAAAGTAATATGCATTCGAATTCGATTCGAATCTGGAACGAACGCGTGGAAAGAAAACGTAAAGTAATGTTTTAATTGTGTGGCGAAAACATTTAATCAGCAAGGATTAATTTATTTAGCGAATATAAATATACTGAGAACATTGTTTGTTAAGCACAAGGCGCGGGTCGCAACGATGATAACATACGTGTGTAACGGACGGCTGCCGGTGCGGAACTTGAACAAAATTGAACTAATTTTATTCGACCCTCTTTGGCCATCTACTTCTGACCATAGATAAGAATAGCCATTTTTAGTTTTACTTTCACATATGCTCAAATTATAATATGCTAGCTTTCTAGAATAGAACAGTAACATAATATTTGCCCATGGTGTGTTAAGCACTTTTTGTAAGTCAAAACTACAGCACAAAAACCCAT